CAATAACACTAGTTTCAATATCCGTTGATGTTGATGCATTAGATAAACATGGTGAGTTTATCGATGAACGAGTAGAAGAACCTGGAAAAATTAAAACATACAATTCTATACAAGTTAATCATCCCTAACATGTATACAAAATATAACTAAAAAATTAATTCAACAAATATTAAATTTTACAATTAATTAATACTTTAAGAAAAACTAGAGTACAATTATTATCCACGGAATAAGTTCTTTCAGCGACCAAGGACAAGTGAGAATTTACTGTGTTTACAATAATATATTTTATTAGACATACCAGGTGGTGAATATGATAATGGCACAAAATCTGAAGTGCTACATTCAGGGTTATCATAATTCTTTGATTCATCCACATACTCAATTTTCATGGCATCAAACAATGTAGGTACAGCTTCCGGCTTTAGTCTATTTTTCTGAAAATTAGAAAACATATCAGTTTCAAAATGTAAAGAACAAATACGATACTTAGTGTTAGCAGGTAAATTATTGGTTGACTTTAGTTGATCACATTTGCAATTTTCAATCCAAACAGCACATCTAAAATATTTTTGTAAATATAATTAATACATTTTCACAGCGAATAAGACTTTTTAAATGGTATAAGTGATAACAGTTTAGTCAATTGCAATAAGGCCTAGGGAAATATATGTAATATGCATTGTTTATAGACTATAATTAATGTTCACATATTAAGTACTTAAAATGTGTAATTTATTATTTTAACAGCCAGCTTAAAATCAAATTTATGAAACTGAAATAATGAACTATTGACTTTGGCTATTCAAAACCGGTCATAAAATGTAAGTAGAAATATGTTATTAACAAAGATATTACTTACCTAGCAGGGTCTTTTGGGAAAGTAAAAAAACTTAGTTCATCCTTATTCAAAATGTGGCTTCTACAATTGGTCAAGCAACATTTTGAATACTGTTTGGACCGTTTATTAACCAAAAACTCCATTGTGCAAAATTCAAAAAACACAGTAAAGCTTGATTTCCGCAATTCGACACCACAATAACCATAGACAAGTCACAAGTAACAACGGCGGTAAAATGTAAAATGTAAATTGTAAATTGTAAATACTAAATTGTTTGGTTAGTAGTCATGGAGATTGAAATAAAAATTGTAAACATCCTTACAACAGTGTCGCCATAAGCAACATAAATTTTAGAAAACATTAATATTGAATTTGTGGTCAGCCTGGTGCTTGCATACAATATGGCGGAAAGTTTTTCGGGCGGCCGAGGTGTCCATTCTGATTTAATCTATTCTGTGGCCTCATTCTCGTGTAGTGTTTGTTATATACATATATATTTGTGAAATGTGAATTTAAAACTGTCCAATAACTTGTACATTGTACGTCATTTTTAAAAGTGTTGTTGTTTTTGTCAGACATCAGAAATGTCCGTGAGTAAAAATCAATCGAAATGCGTTGTTAATGGCTTCACTGCAAAAAGTAAGTATACAATGTTCAACCTTAAAGGCTCTGTCAAACAGAACGCGTTATAACGCGCGTTAAAGCGGTAAAGCGTCGATTACACTGAGCTAATTTACTCGCTAATCGCTGGCGAAATGGCGAATTACCCGCTGCGACTAAAGTCGCTCAATGTAATCACTCGCTGCGTGTTGAATACTCGCTGCTCGGCCGCTATTAAAGTTGACGGCCGGGCTACTTCAGATTTAAGCGTCGATTGTACTGAGCGAATTTACTCGCTAGTCGTTGGCGAACAAAGTCGCGCTTGTGTGAGCGTGTAATGACCTGACCAATAACATTGAGGGATTAAATTCGCTCACTCGTTTCCAGCCACTACTTGCTGGCACACTAGCGATTTTTCCAGCTAGGGCGATTACATTGAGCGATTTTACTCGCTGGAGTGTAAAAATACCAGCGTTTAGCGACTAAAATAGCCCGCCCGTCTACTTTAATAGCGGGCGAGCAGCGAGTATTCAACACGCGGCGAGTAAGCGACTAGACAGATTACATTGAGCTACTTAAGTTGCAGCGAGTAAATTCGCTTAGCCTAATCGACGCTAAAATGGCTCTTCGGCGTGGTGCTTTCACGCGGCGTTGTAACAAATTACAAAATCACACAACGTTAAAATAACGCTTTCTGTTTGACCGAGCCTTTAAGGTCCACACACACTGCAGCGGTGGCGGTGAATTGCTGCAGGACACATTCACCACTCACCGCTCTAGTCGCTTACTCTCCGCGTGTTGAATACTCGCTACTCGCCCGCGATTAAAATTGACAGCCGAGCTTACACTCCAGCGAGTAAAATCGCTCAATGTGATCGCCTTAGCTGGCAGAAATCGCTAGTGTGCCAGCAAGTAGTGACTGGTAGCGAGAGAGCGAATTTAATCGCTCAATGTAATTGGACAGGTCGCTACACGCTCACACACTTGCTACTTTGCTCGCCAACGATTAGCGAGTAATTTCGCTCAGTGTAATCGACCCTTAAGCCAAGACAATAGAATTTTTGTAATTATCTACCACAATTTTCTTGAATACCATTAGGATTGTTGAATTGTCATAACTGGAATTTGGAAATCTGCACTTAATGCATTATAAACTTACAAAATAAACATACAATTCATATTTAAGACGTTTTGAATTCGGTTTCTTATGTAATTATTATGTATATATTATATTGCATTGTTTATAGATATGGCCTGTCATCGTTTTCCCAAGGAGAAAAAGGATTCAGCGAGGCTTTTAGAATGGATAAAGCTGGTGGGCTTTACGACAGAATATGATCATCATACATTCAATAACAAATTTGTTTGTTTAGTATAATTTGCTGAAAATTGTTCTAGTCCTGGAAAAAAGATTGAATGCAAATGTGTATCCTACCTAAAATTTACCTGCGGGTTTGTACTTAACTATATTATTTTAATTAGTTACATATTGAGTCGATACTCATTAACTATAGGTAGTTATGAGGGTATTTCCAAAATTTTTTTTGGATTATATAACTTTGATTCCGTTAGACTTTAACCCACGGTGCAATGATTTACATTTCATGCACAAAGTACAAACACACATGACACCTTCACTCTGGTTTATTAGAAGAATAATAATATTAATGGATTGAAGATGAAGATCGGGAGTATCTTGTTTTTTTTTAATACATTTGTCTTCTTTGATCTTTTAACGACCTCAGATCATCATAAATGTTTCAAGCTTAAGTGGAGTAGACGACTGGGGTCGTCAAATAATGACAAGTTTTCCAAACCGACCGTCTTCAAAGCACAATCACAATGTTATATATATACCCATATATTTCTGTATTACGTTATAGCCTATTTATAACTAATACCTAAATACTTATTATAGTAAATTCAATGGATGGATGTTTAGTTGTAAAATAATGAGAGAGGACACGCTTTTATCTTGTAGCATATATCGCCCAGACCTATAATGTTACTGCTTATATTTATATATATTCACACAGTGGCGGCTCGTGTATATGTGCACTACCTACCCAAACTCAAGAAAAATTGATAACATAAATCATAATACAACCATGTACTTATAGTATTTTTAAGATTATTTAAAAAAATAAAAAAACATAAATTCAGAATATTATGAAAATAATATAATATTTGGATTGGGTTATTTCGATGGCCAAACAGCCGGGCGGTTGTCTGCGATGGAACGGTATCAGTGTGTATTATAATAGTGGTGCACTGGTGCAGTAGTGCATACAATCACTGTGCACATTTGTAAAGTGTAAAAATTAAAACGAGCTGAAACACGCAGCCCGCTCTGCCATAGGCATTATAATTTATTTTTATTTACCCTCATTCGTTTATTATATTCCGGTTATCAGCTGATAATGTTAGTCGATCTTTATCGGAAGTTCAAAACAACAATCATGTTTCTGTTTAAAAATATAAACAAAATAAAAGCTAATTGGTGAATAATTAGAATTTGCATAAAAATGATTTAATACAATTTATAATATATATATATATAATATTGGTTCTTTGTTTTGGACTTCATTAAAAGCTCACGAGCCGCCCCTGTATAATATGTATATTCCTCACTATAATATAGAACTATTACCGTGGTATAGGTCGAACCGCCCCACACTCAGTGGTTAAATTACGGGGAGGGATGCCCCCTTCTTATTTAAGGCAAGATTATGCGTCCTTTTTAATTTAAGCTTCCAAAGTCTGGGGGGGGGGGGACGTTTGAAAAGAAATTTATTAACGTGATATGCAAATATACAATTAAAATTAGTATTTATTTGTCTTTTTGGTGAAATAACTAAAACAAAAAACTAAAACAGCTTTAAAATTTAAATACATTTTTTTTAACATTTCAAGCTATGAATTCCAATTTATTTTGACTAAGCAGGCATAATATTATGTATAGGTTCTATCCTAATTTATTAGGAAGAAATCGGTTTTTACATCCTATTAATATAAACTTTTTATGAACAAATAGGTGTGTATTTATGTTCAATGGTAGTACGTACTATGTGAGTGCTGTGTAGTAACTGGTAGTTTCTCGTGAGTGTTGTAGTTGCTTGATACTTATATGCGAACTCGCTCCCACTATTGTAACTATTACAAAAAAAAATACAAATAGCAGTATACCCTTGACAAAATATAGTATATAGGTACTTTGTCATGAGTGTACATTTGTGTGTAAGTGTCTTACCTACGTTTGTTTTTTTTTCAGTTAGTGAGTTTTTTAATGACGAGGACAACCAGTTGATACTGAACAGTCATAATTAGAATACATTTCAAAATAGCAGCATTCTAAACACTGCAGCAGTGGCGCCGAGGTACCCTAATATACATTTACTCTTAAATTATGAGTCATAATAAAGTTATGATGTAAATAAAATGTGGCCTTCTCTCAGTATACGTTTGTTTAAAATCAACCAACTGTAAATGTATATATTATAATGTTAACTTGGTGTTTGCATATTAATAAGAGGTATTTTTTCTCTAGGTTGATTTGGAAATGTATTATGACAAGAATAGTATAAAAGATGAAATGATCCAACAACATAACGTACGAAAACCATTATTTGTCCTCCGTAAAACCATGCCTAATACTGTAAGGTCACCCATGCAGTCTTCGTACGAAAAGGGTCAATTTGGTAAAAATATTAATAATCAGTCAATGGAGAATATTAAAGATGGTGGCATGACTAGTGGTATAACAATACAGTTGATATGGCCGAAAGATTCACTGCTGCTGCCACCACAACCAGCCCCGTCTTATTCTGACAAACTTTCCCACAACAGGAGATAGAGCAGCATGTATATGTTACCTGCACAGGATGAAGATTTTATTGTTGCTAGTGATGCAGAGGGAGGAGTCGAAATCATCACACACCATAATGTAAACGGTAAAGAAAAATACATTATAATTCCATTTAATCTGAAAACTATCATTGCTCAACTGATAGAAATTAAAAATTTAATTTATGTTGTTATTGATAATAATTATGATAGTTGTAATATTTGTAGGATGATGATATATATTTATATATATATATAAAATTAAAACAGATTGACTTAAGTTATATTTTAACATAATGCAAAAGAACTGAACAAATAACAATGCAAATCTTTTATAACAAGAGTGACTGAGTGAGTGTATGACAATTGACAATACATATATTTTAAGGTTATGACGGTTCACATATTATAAATTAATTCTGTCATGGAACAAACACTACAGTTCCTCCAAACTTAATTACAGAATACTATTCATATAAAATACATTATAAAATATTAATTTTAACAATTTAAAGTAAATAAAATAAAATATAATAACAAAATATACAAAATATAGATAGCCAAAAAAAATCTATTAATTAATAATAATGACAATTAAAAAATATTTATACTAATAACATATTTTACAAATTCAGTTTATTAGGTGGACGTTTAACTCGCTTAGGTCTTTCAGTACTAACACAATTATCCTTATTCTGAGTTAACACACTATCCTTTTGAGAATCTAACACATTTATCCCTAACTCTTCAGTTACCTCCAATTTTTCCTCAATTACTTCTTCTTGCTCCAAATTAATGTTTTGATCTGTACTCACCTCTTTTTCAACAACTAAACCACAATCTATAATCTGATTCACATGTCTCTTCCAAATTCTACCATCACCTAATCTCAAGTCATAAGTAACAGGAGATAATTTCTGTAATATAACTGCTTGTACCCATTCATCCCATCCAGTATAATTCCTACACATTACTAAATCATCAACAATATACTCTTTATTTCTATTACTTCTATACCAATTTTTATTTTATCCAAACTTTTTTCATAATTAACTTTAGCAAAAGGTGTCAACCTATCATAAGATGTAAATAAAGAACGCCCGATATGCAGTTGAGCAGGACTAAAACCAGTAGAACAGTGTTTAGTGCTATTATAAGACAAAATAAATTTCAACACACTAGTATCAATACAATCTTTATTATTAGTACTAGAAATTACTTTCTTTAAGTAATTTTTGAAAGTCCTCACTAAATTCTCTGCTGCGCCATTTGATGAAGGGTTATATGGAGTAGTTTTAATGTGAAAAACACCATTGTTTTTAAGAAATGTTTCAAACTCAACAGAACACAAAGAAGGGCCATTATATCAGATACCAATTTTGCAGGTATACCCCAAGTTGCAAAATACTCTCTTAACACCATAACAGTAGAACTAGATGTTATATTTAACATTCTTTTCACAAAAACCCACTTTGAATATGCATCTAAAATAACTATGAACATCATACCCTTAACAGGTTCTAAAAAATCTAAATGGATTCTTTGTGCAGGACCTTCAGGCCAAGGCCAATTATGTAACACACTCTTAGGTGGACTATCACTAAGAATTAAACATTCTTTACACTCTTGTAATACATTCAATTTCAGAATCCATACCTGGCCACCATAAATAAGATCTAGCCAATGCTTTCATCTTGACAGTACCCATATGTGTACTATGCAATTCCTGCAACAATTGTTTCCTATACTTTGGAGGAATAATTAATCGATGTCCCCACATCAAACAACCCTGCTCGATAGACAATTCCAGTCTCCTACTGTAAAACGGTTTAAGATCTAGTGAAACATCCTTACTGTTATCAGGTAAAACATTGTTTTTTAAGTATTGTTTTTTTGGTTCATATTCCAACAGTTCCGCTTTCAAATCTCGTACAAAATCATTGTTTGTAAAATGATCAGAACAAGTGTATGCTGTTTTAGGGTTCCAAACATCACCTCGCCTACATAAATGTTGTCACTTCTTTGCCAGAATATTATCTTTAGGAAACCTTTAAATTAATATAACCTTAATGAGTTATTTAAAAATTTATATATTGCATAAATTCTTATGTAAGTATATTATGTAATATTATATAATTATATTACATAATATAATTATATTTTATGTAAGTATTCTTATGTGTTTTTATGTAGTTTTGTACTATACCTATGAAATGACAAATCTTTTCTACCGCTGGTTTTAACCTTTCCGGAATAATTTGTGCATGTAGCAACCGCGTATGATGAACCTCCTCTTGGTTTGTTATTTGCCATTGTATAACTTAACAAATCGCAGAACAATAAATAATTAACAAGATTAATAAAAACAACTTTTAAATAAAAGTAATTTTACATAAACACATAATGCCGTATACTCATGGCATGTAAACAAAATTAAGTGTACGGCGGGTGACGTCACGGTCTGTTATTCCCCCACTACTAAAATTTGACATTATCGAGTTGAGACAACCTTTATATTCTATAAACCTTGATGAAGCCTGACAGCCATATCGGCTGTCCAAAAACATATCACAGTAACTACGTTTGACAAAATTTTACAGGAGAGCAATATCAGTAAATACCAAAAGGCCGCTATCTATCACATAAAATTTAAACCTGAAACCTCACTTATCAACGAATTAGGACCATTTTCTACATTTTTTGATATCAATAATTTGTCATTTTCTGTTTGTCAAGAAGTTAAGACAGTTACTTTGTTTTGATTTTGATAATGGAAGAGGATAAAATAGTATGATAAAATTAACACAATTAACACAGCAATGGCTTTTACTGTGTTTTAATTTTGCTTTTCAAAACATAAATAAATTATATTAAATCTGAATAAATCTCTAATATTAAATTATAAGTGATATTTTAATTGTTTAATATGAGTCAATATTATATTAAGTAAATAACCATAACAAATATTATGTTAACATATTGTTATAAGCAGTCTTTATTTATAACTGAAACATTTTAAAAGTATCACAATTAATTAATAAATTGACAGTGTTACATTTTGGCAGTCTTTGCAAATTTAAACAACAACTTATTTTCAATAAAAATATCATGAACATATTATAAACTAATTTAAGTATTGAAAAACACAGCTTTCAATTTTTAATTTAGTATAAACAAGAAATAACTCATAATCATAAAAGTATCACAATTAATTAATAAATTGATAGTGTTACATTTTGGCAGTCTTTGAAAATTTAAACAACAACTTATTTTCAATAAAAATATCATGAACATATTATAAACTTATTTAAGTATTGAAAAACACAGCTTTCAATTTTTTAATTTAGTATAAGCAATAAATAACTAATAACCATAAAAATATAAAATACAAAATATTTATAAAATTATAATGTCTGTATATCAAACTAGTAACTACCTAAAACATTTTAAAAATTACTAATTATTAATGGCATTCATTAATGAAAGTATCAGACAAATCAATATTTTCAACCAAATCAGTTGAAGTCAACGAGACTGGAAGTTCAGTCCAATATAGTTCTCTATTAGCTGGCATCAATGGGACTAATTTTTCAATTATATCTTTTTTTTTAGTTGGAGGTATTCATCTGTTTTGTATAATGATGTCTGGCTCATAACTGGTGATGTTTTTATGAATTTTTTTTGTAAAAACTCCAGTTCCTGAAGAATTTCATTATCAAAGTCAGTTGAATAAAACATTGTAACAGAACCTCTTTTAAATTTAGCCATTACTATATCACCTAGTTTAAAATTTTTAAGTGGGTCAGATTTAATGTTCGTAGCTCTTTTTTTACTTGTCCATTGTCTGAATTTTTTCTGATCAATTATATCTAAATTCTGCCTGCTAGATTTAATTGTATTTTTTAGGTCATCATAATCGTAAATATTTCTAACTTTCCTTATTTTTGTTTCTATATTTCCATGTACTCCATCGGCAGACATATGAGTGTGACCTTTTGTTAAATATTTTATAGTTACACTTTCTACAGAATTATGATTGGAATTTAAAATACAAACTAATGCTGTGTTAGCACCTACTTTAACAACTAAGGATCGGTAGCGGTTAAAGGAGAGCTCGGGTCAGGATATCGGGTAAAGGTATAATATTTAATACGAAGTGTGGTATTCGGTGTTTATTCATACATACGGTTTAACTGAAAGAACATAATACGGTATTTAACTTATTAACTTGGATTTTAACGGTCGCTGGGGACGCGGGACAAAACGGTGTACCCGGTCGCTACGAATAACAAGAACGTGACTCTCTGGACGGGCCGCCGTCGCGGTCCGCGCCGGTACAGCACGTGCCAACTAATACCTCAATTCCGGTGGCGGAAAATTTGTGTGGAGCCAAATTATTTTATCCATCTGAGTTATCACGTATTGTTTATTATCAATATATTTTGATAAGATATTTCATAATAATAATATTGAATTGATTAGAATAAATTAAAATAATAATTAAAATAATTAAAATTTTAAAGTATACCAGTATACTATGTAGTATGTATTATATATTATTATATTATAATATTATATTATACTATATATTATTAATTATTACCTTATTTTACTGATTTTTAACTTGTTTAACTTTGAGTAAAACTGATCCAAATTTAATATTTATGACCAAAAATTCCCAATTTATTAAAAATAAATTTTCTTATGTCAAAATGGAAAAGAGGATCTCATAGTTTGTCGATCGACTTTCAAAGATAAGTATACACACATTACTATATTATTTTTTATTTATTTTTATGGTTTATGTATTAATCAATCATGGTGGTAAGTTATTTTGATTTTATTAAGTAATTAATAATTCTTTTTCTACTTAATTTGTATGTCATGCTTCATAGATTTGTGGAGAATGTGGAAAAGATTTTTCCAAAGCATTTAACTTGAAACGTCATCAATCAACTTCTTTGACTTGCAATCTTCAAAATAAGATTGTTGAAAATAATTTTGTAAGTACAAAGTAATTTTATCAATTAAATTAATAACTTTTAATTTATAGTTACAATTTGTAGGCATGCTGTGAATGTTATAAAAACTTCAATCGTAGAGATACTTTAGAACGGCATATAAAGATTCACCACACGTCCACAACGTTTAACGTTCAGAAGAACCCCAGTAAATATAATAATGTAAATATAAATAGAGTTTAACATATACAGGTATAATTCTATACCACTTTACAAGGATATTATTTTATGAAATAGATATGCGAATTATGTCAGAAAAACTTTGCTAGTCTTGATGGACTAAAACGCCATCAAAAAAGTGTACATCCAAAACGTGTATACGTTTGTATTGTATACCGAATAAACCATAAAAAGATCGAAATTGAACCAAAATGTTCTATTAAACCTCTCAGCATCAATTCCTGGCATATAAAATCATTTACAGATGAAAAAATATACACTGTACTTAAAACTGAACTTAAAGAGTGTTCTATGTATGCAGATGAGTTTACTTGTTCACTTCCTTGTACAATATGTAAGACATGTTTCCATGATTTCATTTGTAGCTGCCCTGATCACAGTATAAGAAATAACATGTGTAAACACATTCATGCGGTCTGTATGTACAATCTCAATAATAAACAAAACATACATTTAGACGAGGATAAAGGTAAAAATAATACTGAGATCGCACAAGACCAACAGCCAATAAAAAATATGAACCAAAATCAAGTTGAAAACTTAGAGAGTAAGAGTAAATGTGACCATTTGAGGAACAAAATATTAAAGGAGATTGAACAGACCTTGCAAAGTGTAGAAACAAATGATCAACTCCAACAGATCAATAGAAAATTAATTGCACCAATCCACGCATTTGTTTCTGCTTCCAATGTTGAAACTGTTCCTCTTACACAAAACAAATCAGAAAGAGAAAAATGGCACTACAAAAAAGGATTTTTGATAAAAACAATTTTTGACATTTATGTTTTTTATTACATTTAGATTTTTTTATTTAAATATTGAATATGACTCAGTACAGTAAATTTATTTTACTTACTTTTAATTTTTACAATTTTACATTTACAATTTTTGACATTTATGTTTTTTATTACATTTAGATTTTTTTATTTAAATATTGAATATGACTCAGTACAGTAAATTTATTTTACTTACTTTTAATTTTTACAATTTTACATTTACATTTTTTAAATATGGGGTGTAATGATAGATCGCTTCCACGTAGTACACCCTGGGCAACGTCAATGACTTATGACTAGTTAATTTGACGGCAAAAGATCTATCAAACGACAAACTGTGTATTAATATGTTATATTATGTATTAATAATTTACAACTATATTGTGTTTAAATAAAACATAATATGTTTATGTCATTCATAATTTGAAACTACAATATTGTGTTTCTATAAAATCCAAAATACCTATCGGCTATCTTATCAAATAATCTTATCATAATATACCGATAATAAACAATACGTGATAACTCAGATGGATAAAATAATTTGGCTCCACACAAATTTTCCGCCACCGGAATTGAGGTATTAGTTGGCACGTCGGTACAGCGGGCTCGAGGCGCAGTGTGACCAATCTAGGACACACAGTGCCTCGGCCCTTACAATACATAGTTTAAAAATTACTGGGTGCTATCATTCGGCCTTCCTGGCCTGTGGGATCGCCCTCGATCCCGAGCAACCGAAATAACTAATAATAATTTTTTTTACAAACAGTGTTATAAAATACATTTCACAAACGGTTACAAATTAATTTTCACAAAACGGTGTAACAGAATTAATTTACAAAATAGTGTAACAAAATAATTTTACAAACGGTTACAAATTAATTTTTACAAACGGTATAACAGAATTAATTTACAAATAGTGTAACAAAATAATTTTTTTTTTCCTCTACAACGGTGTAATAAAATAAGCTATACCTCATCCAGCTCATAGTCCGCGAGGTGGGCAGGACGCCTCCTGGATCGACTGGGCCTGGCAATCCCCGCATCGGCTACGACGGAGCGTGTTTCCTCGACCTCGTGTCGGACATTGTCTGGTGGATCCTCTTCAACCTCGACCTCGTGTCGGACATTGTCTGGTGGATCCTCTTCAACCTCACGAAGGATTTTCCAGGACCTTAGCTGCGATACGTGAGCCGTCGTCGCATACACCTCACGACCATCGGTGGCCAGTTCCGCCACTCTGTACGTGTCGCCCGGCAGCACTTCCATGACCTGCAGGGGTCGTTCTCGATATTTTGCTTGCAACTTGGAGTTTTGATCGGGCCGCGGTTGTCGCATCATCACAACGACCTCCCCTACATCATATTTCACACCTCGATGGTGACGCTGATCGTACAAAACCTTCATAGGCGACTGACTTTGAGCGATCGAGGAACATGCACGATCTTGAAGCTCATGCGGATCTGTCCAATCATCGCGAGTGCGGCTGTGATCGTATAAGACGCCCCCATGATACCGTGGGTTGTATCCATGTAGCACTTCGAAAGGTGATTTAGTACTCGACTTGTTCACCGCCGAATTGAGGTGCCGTTCGATTTCCGGCAGATGGATGTCCCAACGCTGTTGGTTGTCGGTCATCATGCTGAGGAGTGATAGTATCGTTCTGTTCGCCCTTTCCACTTGCCCGTTCGCCTGTGGGTGCCGAGTGGAATTGAGGGTGTGACTGATCCCTCGTTGTCGACAGAAATCTTCAAACGACCTACTGGTAAAACAGGTACCCCGGTCACTGACAATACGGCGTGGCACTCCACGTGTATCACAAAACTTAATTAAACGTCTTACAACACCAGCAGCATCAGTGGATCGGCACGCATACAGATGTGTATACTTAGTCATATTGTCGACCAAAACTAATATATATCGATTTCCCGTTGAACTGGTTTCGAAGGGTCCCAGATGATCAACATGAACGACTTCAAATGGTCGTCTTCCCGCTGGGATAGGGTGGAGGAGTCCCGGTTTCTTACCGGCCGGCCGTTTGTGGGTCAGACAATCGAGGCACATTTGTATGTGTTGTCGGACGTATCGTTTCAAACCGGTAAACCAGAAGTCCTGTGTTATCTTTGCCACTGTTCGGTCCTCGGTAACTAAAGCAGTCTTCTTTTCCGCTTCTTCACTAAATGGTATCAGCAGAACCGGACTGGCGTACGGAGATGTGGAGTCCGTGATTATTCCGGCGGCCCTCCATTCATCCAGGATTTGAGTAATAATTCGACGGTCGGACGGAGAGGTACGGTAAGGCCGCTGACGGACGGGCTCGCTCCCGGGCACCTCCACGATGTTCATGTGGAGCACGTCAGTGCAACCCAGTTCCGCCAAGGACTTGGCAAATACGTTTCGATACTGATTTAGTAGTGTTAACAATTTCAACCGTTCGTCAAGCGGGACGTTTGGGTCGATCTTGACGTCCTGCTCTACCAAAGGCGACGGTATAGGCTTCTCCACGTCCACTAGCGCCGTCTGTATATCGGAACACTCCCTTTCGACGGTCTCGGTAGTGACGGAAGGGCATATCGCGCCGATAGCCTCGATGACAAACTCGTTTCCCCTTTTATAATAATTCACATGTGGCAGGTCCAACCACGTTCGGCCCACTAATAGATCAACCGGTATCGAATCGTCGCTGACAACACAGACGGGATGATCTTCAGCATACGCTCCATCGATCATGATGCTCGCAGTGGCCTCACCAAGAGTTACCACACTCGGTTGATGCACATCACCGACCGTGTAAACTGGTCGGGTAGTCCGGCGCATTGCGACTCCCGCGCGATCAGCCAAACCGGCCCGCACCAACACATGTGACGAATCCGAGTCGATGAGGCAGGTGGTCTTGTGTTCGTTGAAGTATACGGTTTTTATAAAAGCGTTACTATTCGGTGCCGCCTGTACCAATTCGGCGCACATAGTCTCAACTGTTGTCGTGGAAGTGCGTGGTGCGACAGTACACTGGCCGCGTGAATGTGACGTGGACTTACATCCGGAGCACGGCTTTCGCGGCTTCGGGCAGTCTCGCGCGATATGCCCATTTGTGTTACAGTTGAAGCAACGAACAGTAGTCGACTCCCTGATCGACGTCATTCTATTGGCGATGACGTTTGTGTTTTGCTCTTCTGCAGTTGGTGCTGGTGCAGCAGTTTTCCTTTGTGCTTTCGGGAATGTTTTCCAACCTTTATCTCCGGACGGCTTCACGGTGGCACCCTGTGCCTTACGGAGTTCAAACAATCGTCCACCTTCTTGTAGATCGGCCAGGAGCGCGGCGGTCGATGTGTGGTACCTGCCCATCGCAAACACCGCTAGTTCCTGCGAGTGAATACCCAGGACAATGTGATCGCGTATCTCGTAGAATGACAGATTGAACATTTCTATATGATTCTTGTGAGATACATTTTCCATTTTTTGAGCAAAAATCCAAGTACATTTTATTTACTGTTAACTCTCGAGGTAAATACAATATATTAGGTGCATTGTGCCTTCGGTAGTGACTACTACAAGGCTTGAAAGTTTTAATATGGTCAATTACTACTTGCCTGTCAAACATTTTCAAATTATTGTGTAGACCTCTATTTTATTTTATTTTTGATGAACAAGGACTATATTGTTAACATCTTTTAAGTATTTACAAAGTTCAGTCACAATTGAGTCATTTGAATAACCAAAAGTGTTCAAAAATGTGGATTTATAAACCCGAATTTGATCATGAAGGTGCCCTGTATGCTACTTTTTTACATTTAGGCGATGGAGAAAATAATGGTCTTTTAACTTTAAATTTGGATGTAGTTGTGAGTATATTTTCTGTATCTACTTTCTTTTTTTGAATAGGTGTGTATAGAGTTTCACCTAAGACTTCAAACACTGCTTCCTGATCTTGGGAATCGGTAAAATTTGAATATTATCAATAAGCTCAGATGTATTTTCTCTATCTGATTGTTGATCATGGTCTTCAGCGACAGATATATCTGCGTCTTCAGCAGACGTCAAAACTTCTTCAATACTCATTCGAATGACTGCTCTTAATTTTTGGATCAGGAATCATTGATGGAATAGCCGTCTCCTTTAAGTATAATTTATAACTACCTCTCGGTTTTAAGTCATAGTCAGACTGTACAAAGTGTTCACTACAAATACAACTATTTTTGGTAGGAACAAACCCTTTCCGACGTATAGCAGTAATCCACTGTTGCGAACCAGATGTGGAGTTCGGTTGACAAGGTCGAATCAAATGAAGTAACACGTAGTCAAATTAATTATCATTATACATTTATTGACCAAAGGTTAGTGGTTAATACTTTTAAAGCACTCAGAGTAATGTTACAACTTAAGACAAATATCTCTAGCATGAATACTGTCAACTTGTCGTCACGCAGAAATAGTGTGTCCGGTCTCCCTGCTGGGGAGCCTTTATATAGTAGACAGCAGTCAGATTACATGGTCCTTTACAAGGTCCCACTTAAGTATTCGCTATGGCTCCTCTAGCACTTTAGAATCTAACTTTTCCTTGCGGCACTCGTTAATAGTAATTAATATACTGTGCCACGTACACCACCCGTAATACTGTAGTAATCATGTTATATTATTGTGTGGTCCTAGCCTTGGCTATTGCAACACCTCCCCCACAAAACGAGGGCTTATGGTTAAGAAGACCTCTAACTTTTGTCCTACGACTAATATTCAATATTCATACTTTACAAAAAATAATTGCATTACTCTGGTGGTATAATTATTTCCTTAAATTATGTTAGTATATACACAATACAATATTTTACATTTTTTTTTTTTTATTATTATTATTATATCACAAATTCACAATGATACAACATATACAAAAAAATAGTTTTTAAGCGTAACCCTTTACATCAACATAGTCAGTAGTCTTTTTATAATCATTTTCTTAAGGCCTAAATACCCATACAACACCATACATGGAGCTCTACTCGCCCTATTTTTCGGAGTTGAAAGGTATATAAAGCTATAAATGCGCGGTTATTAAATCTATTTGATCCTTTGTGAAAGGACCCCCTTGCTCCGTTTTGGAGGTACTAATGTGATCCCTTAAGCAAGATGGATTATAATACCTATATGAATCCTTTGGATTCTCATGGAATTGATGGTTCATTGTTATCCTTAGCTGATCTATGAAGTGCCCCAAAAATGCTTTGTCAATTCGTTCAGCACTCATTTTCGGGTTACAATAATATGTGTCATACAATACGGTTGTATGTTTATTTATTTATTTATTTTTTTTTTTAATTTACTATTACTTTAAAGAATATTGCGGTTAAGGTATCTATTATTACAGTTTCCGATTGTACAGAATGAAAAAGCAAGTGGCATGGTGTTTCATGCCCCTCTAGAGCCCCTTCCTCATTTTGCCACTCAATGAAGGTGGTCAAAACGTCCTGGATTGCATGTAACCTTTTTTGATTTAAAAGAAACCCGCTTCTCCGATTGGCCCTTGCCAAATGCTTTAGCAGGCAGACCGGCGTTTGACTACCCTCACGTAATTGTGTAGTATGTTCGTCCTCGTGTAATGTATATCGGAGATGGTCCATAAACTTAACTAGGTCTCGTGCCGTGCTCATATTTTTCCCTATTAAATATTTTATAATGTAGTTACGTCTACTCTAGGAATTACTATTCTATGACTACGGTATTTTTGTTTGTGTTTATAATCACTATATAGACTATAAACTATCATTATTCCTAATATTATACATAATATTATAATTATTTTTGTATGCATACCACTGGTTGATTTCAATATACTTTTATCTTTTTCCTCCTGGACGGCGCTTTCCAATTCCTCGATGGTTTTGGAAAAGTCACTAATATCGTTCAGCTTGACTATTGGATTTTGGTGGATAAGTAAACTGTCGAGTTTAGCGCTGGGTAGTAATGGAATTTTTACACTAGTGGGTATGTTTACTGGTGGAATGAAATCGGTATACTGAACGGACTTCAAGTGCCTGTTAGGTGTTAAGAATACTTGTGGTGTATGCGCCCTGCATTGTTCACTTAATGTTATTATACCTACGCCCCTTAGTTGTATATTCTTAGCGTTATCCCATTGATCGCAGGTGACAGCTACATCACCTAACGTGTTTATTATATAATCCACTTATTATGATTTTTCAACTTATGGTAGACGCTACGTGATAATTCTAAATATTTTACTGCGCAGGTTCTCCTCTCTTTCTAATATATTGTCTTATCTATTGTTCATACTTCCATTTGCGATTGACACAGGGTCAAAAGTACCACAATCATCATCGTTAGGGTCCTCCTTGTTTCCTTCCTTTAACTTTTTCCAATTGTTAAGTCTGTTAATTAGTAATTCTTACTAATTTATAGTCTTATCTTTTGTTCATACTTCCATTTGCGATTGACACAGGGCCAAAAGCTCCACAAGGTTTTGTTTAATAAATGCTTCAGAACTCGATAACAATTCCGCACAGTTATATGACTTTGCAACCGCTCTGATTCTAAGACCATTAGATAAATTATGTTTATTTTGTACCAAATCTTCGGAAGTTAGGATAGGAATTCATCATTTTCAACCACTTCTCTGAAAATAATAATCATTATATTTATAATTAATTACTGATTGATCTAGAGAAACAAGTTATGGTTATCATGCAAAAAGTTTTGTTTAATAAATGCTTCAGAACTCGATAACAAATCCGCACAGTTATATGACTTCGCAAACGCTCTGATTCTAAGACAATTAGATAAATTATGTTTATTTTGTACCAAATCTTCAGAAGTTAGGATAGGAATTCATCATTTTCAACCACTTCTCTGAAAATAATAATCATTATATTTATAATTAATTACTGATTGATCTAGAGAAACAAGTTATGGTTATCATGCAAAAAGTTTTGTTTAATAAATGCTTCAGAACTCGATAACAATTCCCCACAGTTATATGACTTCGCAAACGCTCTGATTCTAAGACAATTAGATAAATTATGTTTATTTTGTACCAAATCTTCGGAAGTTAGGATAGGAATTCATTATTTTCAACCACTCTCTGAAAATAATAATCATTATATTTATAATTAATATTACTGATTGATATAGATAATCAAGTTATGGTTATAATAGAAATAGTTTTGTCTAATAAATGCCTCAGAACTCGATAACAATTCCACACAGTTATATGACTTCGCAAACGCTCTGATTCTAAGACAATTAGATAAATTATGTTTATTTTGTATCAAATCTTCAGAAGTTAGGATAGGAATTCATCATTTTCAACCACTTCTCTGAAAATAATAATCATTATATTTATAATTAATTACTGATTGATCTAGAGAAACAAATTATGGTTATCATGCAAAAAGTTTTGTTTAATAAATGCTTCAGAACTCGATAACAAATCCGCACAGTTATATGACTTCGCAAACACTCTGATTCTAAGACAATTTGATAAATTATGTTTATTTTGTACCAAATCTTCGGAAGTTAGGATAGGAATTCATCATTTTCAACCACTTCTCTGAAAATAATAATCATTATATTTATAATTAATTACTGATTGATCTAGAGAAACAAGTTATGGTTATCATGCAAAAAGTTTTGTTTAATAAATGCTTCAGAACTCGATAACAAATCCGCACAGTTAAATGACTTCGCAAACGCTCTGATTCTAAGACAATTAGATAAATTATGTTTATTTTGTACCAAATCTTCGGAAGTTAGGATAGGAATTCATCATTTTCAACCACTCTCTGAAAATAATAATCATTATATTTATAATTAATATTACTGATTGATATAGATAATCAAGTTATGGTTATAATAGAAATAGTTTTGTCTAATAAATGCCTCAGAACTCGATAACAATTCCACACAGTTATATGACTTCGCAAACGCTCTGATTCCAAGTAAATTTAAAGGATTAAGTTGATTTTGTAAAAACAACACTCGCACTTATTACATAATTTAGCTAATAATTTGGCAGCTTGTAACAACCCCTTAAAAGTCGACAATAGATCACATAATATGATATTTATTTATTTATTTATTTAATTCAACGGATCAAACGATCCAATTACAATAGGTAATTTAAAATAATATAGTTCATAACTGAACGTTAGAATACAAAAATAACACGGTAATAATACAATTATAATAAAATACAACATATTTAAATACAAAAAAATATATTGTTTACATAATTAAATAATTTAGTAAACTTAAATAAGTTTAGCAGTTTCTTTCAAAAGATTATCTTCTAATCGTATCTTTCTCAATGTATAAACCGATTTTTTAAGTCCTTTAGGTGCAGTATTGTTTGATGTGCATAGATTTTTATCTTTCACGGTTTCTTTCTTTGTATTTGCCATTCTGAAGGATAAATCCTGCTGTGGATTGCAGATGTCGAGCTACTTGTC